CGGGTGTTTTTTTTTTCTTTTTCTTTTTTTTTTTTGCGCAGACCCTCGCACCTTCAGTCTGGGTGCCTTCCACTTTTGGGGCCAATTGGCGCAACGAGCTGCAGTCCAATCGTGTGGCAGCGGTGCAGCACGAGAGAGAAGGAAAAGATTTTGTTTTTGTGGTCACTTCGGGTTTTTGCGGGGTTTGCCCAGTGAGGATGCACCCTTTTGTGCCAGCGCCTGCATGCAGTTTTTCTCTTGTATTCGCGTGCATATGAATCGTTTTGTGCAATGTTTATTTTTCTATTTGTGTGAGCGGATGATGGAAATTCAAGAAACGAGAAAGTTAACAGAGAGTCAACTTATGGGGAGGGTAAGATGGTGCGGCACCGTCTTTTTTCTTTTTTTTTTCTTGCTCATGCCATAAACCTGTCCTCATCTCGGCTTTCTCCCTCTAGCTTTTTCTAAGGATAGAGTGTGTTGCGGTGAGTGCATGAGGGAGTCCACGACTAGAAATTAGAATATGAGACGGTTCCTTAGGCGTGCAGGGCCGCCTCCTCAACTGCTGGTGTTGTTTCTCTTTTCCACCACGTATTGCATCAATATTCTGAACTGGATTTTCTATATCAGATATCTTAGGGATGAAGTTGAGGAGGGTGTGATTGCCGCCTATATTGCCTTCTCCGTTATCGGATGTATTCTGTTCTTCTTATTGGCATCTCCTCTTATTTATTGGACCTATGCTCGTGCCAGTGAAATCCCTCAAAAAAATCGGCGGAATGTTTTATGCATTGGCATTGGTCTGTGTTTTTTCTTTCATGAATTTCCTTTGGGATGGATCGAGATCTATTTGGTGTGGTACCATGGATGGAGGAGCATCCTCTCGAGTATATCGCTTTTTATCGTCTGGTTGTGTTTTACCATTGGCTTTTTCAGCACCTGGTTGGGTTATACTTGGTATCTTAGCAAACGACTGCACTTTTACTACACTGCTCGTCCAGACTTGATGCCCGTATTGCGATATATGGTGCCATCAGAAGTGTAGATAACTGGATCACCTTTTAAAAAGGCCAGTGATGAGCAATCATGTGGTCAGGAGAAGCCTTTATTGGAGGAAGTCATAACGGATGGGTATTGATTCCAACATTTTTGTATATATTTTTTTTTTTAGTTGTTTTTGTTTTGTATGGTATGGGAAGGGGAAGAGGAAGGGTCTTAAAATATTTCCTTACAACATTTCTCCCATCCTTGCGCCGCTTATTTTTGCGTGTGAGGCAAATTGGAGAGAAGGAGTCACACGTGCTGATGTTTTGGATAACATTCATTCCCCTTTCCTCCCTGCGTCAGTTTGGCCCTCGTGCGTGACTGCAGAATAGTGGCGGCGTTCCACTATGTACGCTCCAATCTAATGAAATGCACAAAGCATGCTGGCGTGATTTCATGGAAAAGGGTGATGGTATTGGCTTTCTCTTTGGTGTTTTCCACAGAGTGGCGTGCTGCAGTTGTTCATTGATGTGTAACTATATTTATATCTATATTTTATAGATATATAAATATATTCTTGTGGAGTTTTTTGAAATATAGAAAAAAGGAATTCACTCTCGTTGCCAGCGGGCCTTGTAGAGTTTATTTTCATTTGTATCTGTGCCACTCCGCGCATGTGTTACGTGATGTATCGGCATTGCTCTTTTTAAAAGGGGTCTGCCAGAGTTATCGAATGTCATCGCTGCGTGTCGTGTTATAATTATTATTTTTTTTTTTTTTTTTTTTTTTTTTTTGGGGGGGGGGGGGGGGA